ATGGGCTCGTGGCTGTCGTAAAAAGGTATAGTAGCAGTGAGAAATCAGGTCAAGGAAACAGACGAGGGCTACAACCGAAGGACATCAGAAGCCTCACCTAAGGACACGTTCAGTAAGTCCCACAAATGCTTGAATTGTCAGAAAGTCGCTAAGCCTGGTCAATGTTTTTTATGCAGTGCTCAGGATGCAAGCTAGTGCAGTATTGTGGACGTCATGTCAGAAACGCCATTGCAGCAGTCAAAAGTGTCTTTGTCAAGCCATCCAGCAACTAAAGGCAGAGAAAGCTTCTCAAGTAATACGTGGTGATGGTTGTGTATTTGTCAGTCATCTTACACCTACGCAGCAGTTAACAGTAGCCAGGCTTGTTGGTATGAATTGTAAAGTGTTGTGTATGTTGAGTGGGGGTGACTGTTGAGGTATTTTATAAGTAGGTTTTGGTATTGTGGGATAAAGGGACTCAGGTGTCCATAGTATCAAAGAGCTGGTTTAGTGAGCATCTATCATGATTAGAGTTAAAGAAGATTGAAAAGATGTTACGAAGGGCGAAGGACTGGACTTAAAAGCAGCAAATGGTGGAGTAATACCTTTCATAGGACGGGAGGAAGTAGAATTCCATCTTACCTCTTACGTTCAAACGTCTATACTCCTTAAGGTACAGATCCTGGTTACAAGAGACGAGCTAGTGTACCCAATCATTCATGGTTACAATGTTATAGAAGAGATGATCAGGAATAAGTGACAAGGAGGAAGCAAGGGAGCAATTTTTGACATTATGAATTTTGCTTTGGTGGATGTGAATGTGAAGAGTGTTAGTCCATTGGTGGAGTTTGTGCAAGGTCAAATGAAGAAGGCTTGTGTTTTTGAGAAGTGGTATATAAACAGTCTAACAGTACCAGCGGGACAGAAGGTAGGGGTACCATGTTATGTCAGTTGTGGCCCACTAGAGAGAAGAAGATGACAACCCCAGATGAAACCTAGCCTGTTTAATTAGAAGTCTCAGAGCAACTGCTCACCTTGCCAGTTCGTAGCCCATCAAACGTAATGTAGTTCTTGGTCGACAGACACCTCTGGGAAATTTACAACTAATTACATCAGTTACGCCTTTGGAAGTGGTTAGGAAAGGTACATGCCAGAGTGAGAAAGTTACCAATCTAACAGAGAATGAGCAGTGTTCAGAAAAATGTTCGCAGGAGAGTCATGTTGGTGACATTAGTAATGACCAAAAGAGAGACGAGAAGTCTTAAAGGGCGCCACAAGAGAAGCGAGGTGACCTTAATGAAAGCCAGCAAAAAATGGCGATGAAATGATGACTGAGCAACCGAATCATTTGCTCAGAATGATGATGATGATGTGGGATGTATTGAGGGACTGCAATTGAATTTAGAACTGTCAGACACCTCTCCAGTTCAGACGACGTATACTTCTATACCCCGCCCGATGTATGCCGAAGTCAAAGCATTACGTTGAAGACTTGATTACATGCTTGCTACTCCTCACCAGTTGCATATGAAGTATGGTCCTTGTGAAGAATTGCCAACCAGTTAGGGCACACCATTGATCACAGAAACACTCAAGCTGTCACCAAACTAACAGTCTAATCCAAAGACTGTTCGAGACGTTCTAATAAGTTAACAGGTCTGTTGAGTTACTATCGCAGATATATTGAGCATTTTTCAAGGATTGTAAAGCCTCTCTATGATATTTTTAAGGAGCCTGAAATAAAATGCCATTCAACGTCGGAGAGCAACGGGCGAAAGTCAAAATTTTCACTGAAATGCAAAGAGGCAGGTATCATCCCGTGATATGCGACCAACAACAAGTCCATTAGAACAGCAGCCAACAAACAATGAATTTATAATAAGGTTTGGGTTTCCTGCCAGAATTTAGCACGACTAAGCAGGTGAATTTGCAAATTAGCTTTTCCATCACTTAGAAGAATGCTGTGGTATGGTGCCATCCAGAACAACACCCTACCATCCAAAGGAAATGGGAGAAAGGAGCGGTTCATCCAGACACTCCTATCCACGTTACGTTCCTTTCCAAGAAAACCAGAAATCCAGAAATCTCGGTGGAAGGACAGCCTGAATAAAGTTGTACATGCCTATTGTTGTACCCGTCATGACGACACTGGATTCTCATTATTATCTGTTGTGTGGTCAGTCCCCAACACTTCCTATTGATCCTATTTTTAGAATTACTGAAGCCTGCTTCTTTCACAAAATATCTAGCTTATGTCAGAGAATGGAAAAAAGCCATGAAAGAGGCTTACGAATTAGCAGCAAATAGAGGACAGGAAAGAATTATGAGGATAAAGACCACAGTCCTGTTCTAGGGCCAGGTGACAGAGTCAGTAAGAAACGTACGTGAAAGAGGAAGATCTGGAAAAACGTGATCTTACTGGGAAGGGGCAATTTATCGATTAATCAATCGGAAATGACGAAGAAAGCCCATTTACGAAGTTGAACCTGTATCAGGCGAAGGACTACATCGTGTGATACACAGCAGTCTGATACTTCCATGCAATGACTTTACCTTTGAAAGAAAGACAGAGGATCCAGCCAGGAGACCGAAGCACAAAAGGAAGATTACCAGACCAGCTGTTTTGTCCACCCCCAGCCCAGCCTCAGAAATCAGTTCAGATGAAGAGGCTTAGGGTATGCTGACCTTAACAGCAGTGGGAAAAGGGACTGCCCCACCTCAGAAACCTGTGGTCGAGGATCCAGTGTCAAATGATGAATTTTCCCAGCAGTCAGTTGAGCAAGAAACTACCAGCACCCACAGAACCAGGAGATGAACGCAAGCAAGCAAAAGGATTTCGTAATTCTTTCTTTCAGCATGTGCACCGCGTTAAATCAATAAATGAATAAATAGATAAATAAAAGAAACCTAACGTGTCTAGATCAAAATTGGAGATAAACATTCACAGCACAGCACAGCTAATTTGATCTATGAAATAGTTAAAAAAAAAAGACTAATCTTGAAGAAAAGGATCTTCCCTCGCCTCCAAGTCGCACTGAAGTGTTACAACAGTTTTGAAGAAACTGTGCAACGCAAATATTCGTTAAAATCAACTGAAAATAAGACGTAACTAAACATGAACGACCAGACTTTGAGAGGTTCAAATAAAATTAAAGTCCGTATTCAGTCCAGCTGGCTCTAGTGTCCGGTAGGTGAATACCATTCTGCACTTGAATATCATTCGGCATTTGATGGCATAAACCACGTTTTTGATGACACAAGGAACGGTATGAAACGCTGTGCATGTTTTAAATCAACTGAAAAGTGCACGCAAAAGGTAACTTCCAAATAAAATTTCAAAACAAAGAAGTAACTAAACATGAACGAGCAGACTTTGAGAGGTTCAAAATAAAATTAAAGTCCATATTCAGTCAAGCTGGGTCTAGTGTCCGGTAGGTGAATATCATTCTGCGTTTGAATATCATTCGGCATTTGATGGCATAAACCACGTTTTCGCTGACACAAGGAACGGTATGAAACACGCTGAGCGTGGTGTATTGAGACGACAAGGTGCTATTTTGACGTTTCCAGAGGTTATTATTAGATGCCATCGACCGTAGCCCCTTCGGACACCTCATGTTATTTTCCCCTTTAGTAATTAGGGTTAATCACTGCCTTTTGTAGATTAGGGTTAATCACTGCCTTTACTGATTAGGTTTAAGCACTGTTTCGAAACTAGTTATGTTCTCTTTTTTGGGTTGGGGTTGGTGCTATATGTACTTAAATTATTTCCCCTCCTTCCTACAAATCCTGAGTGTTCTAGCGGTTAGCATAGCATACTGGGTCTTCTAGGTCGTGGGCTCGGATCCTACTGTCTATCATAATCATTTTTTTTTTTTAATTTTAAATTGAAGAGACTAGCACTTTCACGAACATTTCCAGCTTGAAATATCGTCTAAGTGTGATATAAAAGTAGAAAGAAGTTCTATCTTGTGTAAATTTCATATGTGGAGAAATGGGCTCCGGTCAATGGGATCTAATGCTGACCGTTTCAAGATGACTCAGGGCAAGGATTCAGTACAGATTAGGTCTCAGGGGCACCCAACGAGGATATAGTTCAAAACCACTTAACATAGCATTGTTGAACGTATTTGAGTATTCAAACGGTAGATATAGGCATATTTGTATCCCCTAAAACTTTTCATCTGTTCGGATTTCCTAGCTGAAAGTCTAGTGATCCGAAAATTGTAGGGATAAAAACTTACCTTTCGAAAACTTCAGCCAGGAAAAGGCTCCCGAAAATTTAGGTGGCCTTTTTAGGGTCAAAATCCGTTAAAAATGGGTAATTATACCATTTTGTATATGTTCGAAAATCCTAGGAGAGGCAGGCAAGCAAGAAATTTTATAACAAACGCTCCGAAAATTCTAGATCTTAAATCGTCTTCCGAACAGATATTTTCCCGAAAATTGCCGTTGGGTGCCCCTGAGGTCTGCCGCTTTGCTTGCTCGCTTCACGATCGCTCCCGCGGCGGCAAAATCGCAAAAGCGCAGAAGGTCTGTCTTGTTACTAGAGTCCTCCATATTTGTCTAGTTTTTTTTTTTTTTTGCGATCGGCTTACATTTTTCAACGCTATCGGCTTAAATTTAGAACGACCTCCTTGCTTAAAATGGTCTTCATTTGCTAAAGCTTAATATCTCGTTTGTTTTTTTTGTTTTGCTTCGTTTAATTTTTTTATTCATCCTTGTAGAAATCAATGAATGTAAGGACGGATTACACAACTGTGGCGATGTGTCGAATTGTGAGAATACCTATGGATCCTTCAACTGCATTTGCAAAATTGATGCAAAACACAAAGGTGACTGATACTGACATGAATTATAGCAGAGACCTAATTCTATTTTAGCAATGTTTGAATAAGGCTGAGTATGACGTGAAGAATTATGCAGATCGAGGTGGTGGATATTATCCATCCACTGATACTGAAAGCGCAGTTTTTCGCTTCGCCGTACGAAAGCCGAATTCGGTAATTGCTTTTTTATTCATTCAAAATATTTTTAAGTCCTAAAAAAGGTTACCTCCTCATAAACTTTCTTTAAAGCTTTGGCCCATTTCTCGCATAGTTTCAGGATATAAACAAATGTCTTTTTTCGTTCAGAAACTCCTCAAAAGGTAGGCAAAATCCATCTAGTAATATGCATTTTGTGACTTTTGTGTATTCTCCCGTTTTTTTTCGTTCATGCATCCGGTTCAAGTAATTCAGCAATCTCTTCCTCAGATAGCCCTTAACGTCATGTTTTTCATTCTCTCATGAATAAACAGCTCGGCGGCTGCGCCTATATACGAGGTTGGTTGATGGTCTACTGCTTAAGCAGCTTCGTTTCTAGGCCAGCATATTAGTTAATCTTGTCTCCAAACAAATACAGCATTAAATAGATGGTATATTGCTCTCATCTTCC